TCCATTCGTGGGACAGTGAAGGCTGTTCGTAGACTAAGTTATGGTACCCCAATATTAGAATTTGATTTATAAACCAAATTAATTGCGATACTATCGTTTGACATAGAAACTGCATCAAAGTAGTCTTGTACTCGATTTTCATACAAAAAGAACATTACTGAATCAACGATTTTTTTTAATTTATTTCAATGAAGAAGAAGAATTAAAGTAACGAGTGACATGTGAGTAGCTTCAGTTTACTCATTAAAAACACAGGTAATTTTTGAGTGCATTAAAAATATGTTTAATTATAAACGGCTTTTTAAAACTTCCAAAAAAATGTCAATCATTTATTTATTATTAAGAAATAACAATTCATCAATAACCGTTCAGTAACCGTCTTGGAATGAAATTATCGTCATATAAATGAACTGTATTCACATGGACACATGTGAACGGAAAGCACAGCATTTATACCGCTCTGTGAGACATGTGAAGGACTCCGTTCTTTTAAGTTCCGTTCTCCTCTTCTTCCCTAAAGCTCTCAATATTTCACATGACCCCAAATAGGGATGGGTCGTTGAAGGTATTTTCTTCAACTTAACGTTAACGTTGATTCATGTTCTTCAACTAGTTGATCAACTAGTTAAATTCGTCAACTAGTTAACGTGACACATACATAAGTATTTTAAATTGCAAGCCCTTTCTTCTAGGAAAACGGATGAAAACTATCTATGTATAAATCTAACAAATCTGAATAATTTTTTTTCTTTTGTTTTTTTTTTATGTGAAAAGTTGCCAAACGAGCAGACGGTTCACCTGATGGTAAGTGAATACCGCCGCCCATGGACATCTGCTACACCTGAGGGTTACAGAGGCGTTGACAACTTTATGAAAATTGGGCTCACTAACTCACTCACCAGACGAAACGCGAACTATTTGTCATACTTCCACTTTACGCTGGTCTTCTGTGAGGTCGTGGTACTAACCCGGATGGGCCTGCCCATTCATGCAACAGCCGAGGCTGCTACGTGGCCCTACCACCGTAAAACTAATTTGTTTAGTTGTTTGAAACATATTTTTTTTCTTATCAAAAACCATCATTCGCTGGTGTTTAAAGATTGGTACTAAAACACTGATGAAAATATTTAAATATATTTCCGCTTCAAGTAGTTTTTAAAGTTAAAGTGGTCAATTTGTTCGATATTTTCTCCTTGCATACATTACTTGTCTTTTAGGTATGAAGCCATAACTCACTGTTAATACGTTCAATTATTTTGAATTTTGTACCCACAGTCCTCTATACACTTAAATAATCATAAATTAAAATAAAAAAACACTAATCACAAAGTAAAATTCTGATAAACAAAATTAATGACATAAAATAAAATTCCAAATATGATTGATAATATTTACGCAAAGCCGCAAAATATTCTATAACCTTGTGCGCAACTATTCACAAACTGTCAAACAAAAATAAAGAAAGTGAACTTAAACATGTCCTTCATAAAATTAAACAAACATTTCAACTCAACTCTGTGACGTTTTTTTCAACGTAAGTTTTTTTCAACGTTAAGGTTTTCAATTCGTTACGCTTATGTTCCGTTGACTTAACGTATCGTTGACTGCGTTTTTAAACGAATTGATTCAACGACATAATTTCCGAAACGACGTTAAAGAATTCAACCAGTTGATTTCAATGACAGTTAAACTTAATTCGTTAACAAGAGATCAACGGTTGATTCAACTAGTTCGTTGATTCAACGCCCATCGCTAACCCCAAAACACACTAGTTCGCCCTCGCCTCCGAGCACGGCGAGACCAACACAACGCGTACAGAAGGCGTTCCGGGGCGGTTCTCACCGCTCCCAGCCACCGATTAGCTAGTTGCACAGTCGACGGCCATCGGGGTTTCGGTCCGAACCGCGACCTCGATGACCCTTAGATGACACACCATAGTTAAACGCACGCATGAGCATATGCGTGGCCCTACCCACAGCGCAGGGCCGAAACCCGTGGGTTCTGGCTAGCCCACCGGTTCTGCGTCAGATGAAGCTTTAATAATCTCGGGACTGTACAAGACATAACCGTAAAATTTCGAGCCTTTCACCTTTTTCTTTCTTATGTAGAGAGTGGGGGTGATTAGCGACAATGTGATACACCTGATGGTAAGATATGTATGTGGATTTAGGTAACGCTATCTGCGTATGATGTGTCTAACTAGTTAGTTTAAAGACGTGAAAATTGTGTGCCATAGCAGCTTATTTTAAAGGCATGCTTTTAGCTCAGTGTACTCGAGCGACCTAAGTTGAAATCCTGACGTCGCCAAAAATGCAATTTACTACGACTTCGACGTAATGTTCTAGACGTTCATATTGAGTGGAATTGTTAAACGCAATTTATCACGTCTTCAATGGAGAGGTAGACACTGTGAAGGAACCTGCAAACCTAAAAGCTAAATTGTAACATCATTTCATAATTACCTCTGTGCAAAGGAAACCTATACCAAGAGGGATGTTAAGTACAGACTGTTACTTTAAAAAGAATATCAAAGTCAAGACAGGTATAAAAGTAAATGAAGAAAAAAAGAAAAAACTGGTAAGCTTGTAAAAAGGTAAGGTAAGGAGGTAGGAAAACCTAAAAAGAAACATTTCTTTTTGGGTTTTGCTACGACTACGACATTGAGAAGCACAAAAAAATCTGGATTATAAAAACGTACTACGTTATAATGTGTAACTGCAAATTCGCATAAGAATACAATTGTCATTAGAGTATCCTTAAAACCGCATAAAACATCGGCCGCCCTAACCTCTTAATGGCCGTGTTCACCCTCCGAGAAAACAAAAAAAAGAACTTAGTAAAAAAGTAGTGTATCCCGGTGATATTTATTATTATATTAAAAGCAGTTCTGGGGTGGGAAGAGTGGAATTTCGCCGGCGGCGAGCGGCGGGCGATTACTGCGTGGCGTGGCCACCGAATTTATGGTCAAACTTCGGCGCGAAGGCGACGGCGCGGGTTTTTATTATGATCAGGCCAGTGGACTGTGAAAGCAAGTTGCCGCGGGGGAGACGTAATTTCCATACCTCATGTCTGGCTCTGTCGCCCTAGTGCTTTCTTAATAAAACTTCTTTCATTGTTCTGGCTTTGGAGGAAATCAAACTTTTTTATACACCCAAAGTTACTAAATATCCTAATTATAGAAATGCAAATTAAACTATATTATTATATTTAAGCAACGTTTTAGAAAGTTCTTTTGAAATACTTAATTTAACAGTTTGAAAGAAGTTGATATGTAAAGTTATAATTTTCTGTTCGTTTATTGTCTGATTTGTACGACTTGAAGCTAAATCGATAAAATTTAACGTTAGGTTGATAAACCTGCAAAAATCAACTTCAACATTTCGTTCCTTACATTAAAAAAAAAAGGGAAGAAAAACAAACAGAGGTACGCTGCTGAACTTCTCAGTCATTGGGCAAAACTTTAAGTAAGACGTGAAAAATGGGAAAATGAAAAGAAATAATTTTCCGCGCGAGTTGTCTGTGCAAATGAGCTGAATGAAGGAGCAACTCATGCGAATGATTGAGTGGCTGTTTGCGATGAAACAATATTCAAGTTAATATTGCTTTTTCATTTATTTATAATTCCATAAAGTAATTTTTCATGACATAGTTTAAACAAATAATACTATGTTTATATAAAGTTTGTACAAAAAAACATTATTCCGTTCATCTAATAAGGGTAACATTTACTAATAATTAAACATAAAAAACTAATTTGTAATGATAAACTAAAGTAATTTTATAAACATCAACAAAGAAAACGATTTTTAAATACTTAGAAGTTTTCTCAAAATCGGTCATAAAATGTTATTTTTTAATTTATAAAAATTTAATTTTCTGTTAGCGCCATCTGTTGTTCAAATGCTTAATGAACACTATAATATTGTATTCTACTTCTTACTTTAGACATCTGGTGGTTAGTAGCAAAAACATTGACTTTTATGAGTAGTTTACCTCTTTCATATTACTGTTCTCCTAGTATTAGTCAGCCAAAATTGTCTGACGTAATAAGCAAGAGTATTTTTTGTCGAACCAATCATATTTTTATTATAATGGAAGGTTTTAGAGGTGTTTTTTTGTTCGGTATTTCGGTTTTTGTGTAAGAATTATTTATGTGAATGGTAGTATGAAGATAATACACACACACGCAATACACACATAAAATATATTTAATTTATTGGTTTCAAAATTTTCAGGTGTATTGATAACATTTTTATCTTTTATGTAGTTTATATTTAATGAGGTCGGCGAACTATGGCTATAATAAAATTAAAAGTATTTTCTAATTGTCGTCCGTCGTCGGTCGGTCCTGAAATGTCAAATTTTTCTCGGGTTTGATTAAATAATTTTTTAAATAGTTTAGTAATGCGATGATTACCGCCACACATGCATCCTTAACCTTTACGCAGAAGGGCCACCGGCTTACTCAGCAGCAGCCAAAATGCCAATGTATATAATTAACACTTCTACTTCACACTGGCTTTATGTGGAACCATGTTACTTTCTCAGACGAGCCTGCTCATTCGTGCTATTGTGGAAGTTGATGCGTAGCCCTACCACAGTTGAAAACATATTATATTAGTATTTAGCATATATTATATTTTAATCATTTTTATTATGACAAAATGTTTTTGATGACAACGACATCTCATGGTGAAGCCTGCTATTACATTGATGTACACGTAATGATCAACATGTGAATCAAGTTCTTGCCATATGTAGTCACTAGATGTCGCATTAACATTACTTTAAACTATCATAAGGTGAAAAATGTTTTTCGATAATTTTGGGTGCTTTTGTAAATTATTGTCGTAATAAGCAAGAGTATTAAAAGTATTGTGACGTGATTAAATTTTCGTAATCGTTCGTTCAACGTAACGAAAACGTAATATTCCGAATTATGACACGTGATTTCAATTTTATTATTTACTTTCGGAAGAAGAGTTGTCAATTTTTCGTTAACAGGGGTCGCAGAAATGCATTGGGGCGCCGCGGACGGCATCATCTTCTCGCCGTCGTTCACCAGCTACATTGTTTATCGGTCCGTGGTCCTGATCCAAGAAGGTCCTGATACAGATTATGGAAAAGGAACTATATGAATTATTGCATTGTCACGGGTATTTGACGAGTGTACAGTTTGATTCAAACCTGATCGCTCAAAGTGGTGCAAAATCATGTTTAAAGATTCCGTTACATACATACAGGTGAAACTAATATAAGGGTGTTAAAAATATTTTATTACGTCATAAATTTTGAATGTTTTACTATTTCTTGCGACATACCCCTTTACCGAAATCTAAACAAACTCTATTGTATTGAGGTAACAATAGACAGGGGGGCAGTCGTAGAGTGGTGACACCGTACTCCCCATCCATCTCGTATCGCTACTAAATATTTATTAAGTTCCACTTTGTATTTCTTCAAAATTTCAATGAATAAACCTCTTGTCATTGTAGATTCCAATATCATTTGCTTTTCGTTTAGCCATCGTTGGATGTCGGCTTTTTTACATGCGGTAGTTTCACTTTCCGGTCATGGGATCTATCATCAATATTTTGCTTGAGTTTTAGAAGAAACTCGCCAAACTCAGTGTCAGAAATCCTCAAATCAAGCGCCATTCATCTCTTGATGGTAATCTTCATTTGGAAGGAAATTTAATCAGCAATCAAGTTATGGAAAAAATGAACTTCATTTTAGTTGACAATAATTATATAGCATACATTACTTGAAAAAAGGTAATTGTCAGATTAATAAAACGCGTTAATGATAAGTGAGATATAACTTTATATTTTATAACAAATATAGAATTATGCACTTAAACAGCACATGGTTTTAATAACTAGAGAATATCAATAATTATTTACAATAATAACACTATAATTAATTTAAATAAACATGGGGCTTATTTACATTTTTATCCAACTTAATTAATTAATAATACCAGTCAGGAAACAAAGGCAGTTGATGAAACATTTTATCAAAAACTTATCATCTTATTTAAATAAGTAATTATTTATTTACAAATATATAGCTAAAATTATTTTGTAGTATTTTCATAAATGTAAATATGTGTAAATACTAAAAGTACTTTCTATTTTGGTACAAGGCACTTAACAAAAGTACATAAGGCACTGAAGTCATATTAATAGGATGTAGAACTGCTATCTGGTCTTAATTGTTTCGTTTGTACGTCGTCGTAAGCTATTGTAAAAACACTCTTTTTTTCAGTTATTGGTGGTCGCGTTATATTTCCTGTTTGTTGTATTAATGTATTCATTGCGATACCCGAATCATCGTCATCAATTTTTGTTTTAACTCTTTGATTAGATTCCGTTATAATATCACCACCTATGTTTATTTTTGAAACGTGAACCTCAGTTGCTGCTTTATTAGCATCTTCGTACTTAGTTGATATGGAAATACTGTGCGTGAGTGCACTTTCGGATAGTTCTTGATTTATTTCTGCGCTTTTAATATCATCTTGGTTGACATATATGGGTTGCTGTTCGAGTGACGATCTTCTTGGTAGGGCTGGTGCATTTGACTGTGCTCCGAGATATTTTGGAATGTGAGTTGGCTGAATGTAGCATAGTGGATTTTGATGTTCATACTGATGCTCATATCTATGTTCCGAGTGCTGTAACAAGGGATGTACATCAGGAAGAGGTCCCTCTGGAACAGGCGTAACTTTCCCTTCCTTAAGTATTCTTGGATGAATAAACTCATTTTCTTTTCCTTTGACGTTTTTTTTAATCTCAATACCGTCATTTTGATTCGTTTTACTGGCTATTTTACCATAACGACTCGATTTTTCTCTGTCTGCAATTTTATCGTGATCATTTCTTATTTTAGATGGTCTTTTTGGTTTATCAGGGGGAACCTTTTCAGACAATTGTGATTTTGGAGTACTTTTTTTGCCATACCATTGCATATACCGTGGTAAACTCTTTTGAACTTTTGAACCTTCCGCTAATTTGCTTCCTTCATTGATGCTGTCATTTTTTTTGGCAATTGACTCAATATTATCTTTGTTAAATGGGAAAACAGATTCAATTGGACTTTTAATTTTGGGAGGTGTTTCGTCTAAAGTTTCGGGTGCTTCCGTTGAAGAACCCTGCCTAGAAAATATAAAGTTTTTGTTGGATTGAGTCTCATTGCTTCTATGATTTTGAGAATCTTGGCTAATATCTTTGTCAAGACCAATTGGCTGAATTGTTTTCTGCTCTGAAGATGTCAATGACTGCCTTTGTAAATTTAACTTGCTGTCATCTGAATCATTTTTTTCATTTAGTGAATCTGAAATTTCCATTAATATTTCTTTTCGTAGTTTAGCTTTATTATCACCTTCTGCATGTTTAACTTTTGTAGAGCTAATTGTTTCATTTTTGGATGTAGTAATTACACTTTTAGTTTTATCCCCATATTTTTTAAAATGCTCCTCTCTCTCATTGCTTTTACTTATTTTTACATGTTTTTCGCTTTTAAGTGATGGTGATACTTCACTTTCTTCAATTATTGGTGTTTTTATTTGTCTCTTTAGTTCATAAACCCTCATACTTCGACGAGGGTCTTTGTATTTAATTTTCTTTTTAGGTTTCTTTCTTTTCAACCATACTACTTGCCTGTTTTCATCTTCTATTACTGTTTGTGAATCGTCCTCACTATATGAGTCATTGTCACTTCTTGCTTTTCTTCTTATAGGTGTCAGAATTTGAGGTTCCGTTTGAGTTCCAATATGGCATTCGGTCTGGGTAGCAATTACCGAATGTCCTGGTAAACTTTGAGTTTCTAATTTACTTTCGCTTTGAGACGCCGTTTCGTGATTTTGCAAAAGTCTTTCCCGCTCTATGAGTATCTGATGTAAAAGTTCATTTTGTTTCCTTAAGGAGGACTCCAAAAGTTCTTGATGAATGGAAGATTTATTTTGCATTTCTAATAATGCAGATTGTAAATAGTCAGTTTTTAATGGTACCGTGCCTGGAACATCAGGGTGAATATTTGTGTAGTCATGATTTTGATTATGTTCATTTCCAACATGCGAATTTCTATCGTTTGAATAATTATCCAAATCGGTTACCATTTTATTCATGCTCTCTCTCATTTGTTTGGCTTCTGCACCTTGTTCTCTAATAAACCGTTCCATTAAGAGCTCTTTACCATCATTGACGACGACGTATTGTGTTTTTGGAATAATAGTAATGGGCCTTTGTGTAGGAAGGTTTACATAACGTTCCTCATCGTTCTTGCCTCTAGTTACAAGTCTTAAAATTTCTGTATTTCCTTCTTTAATAAAATATTGGTCTCTGCCTTGGGAAGATGGAGCGAGAGTTTTACTTTCCAATTTTATTTTAGCTTCGTTAACATTTTCAATATTTTTTTCTCCTTCAGATTTATGAATACCGCTGGTTTCAGAACCACGATCTATTTCATGCCTTCTTATTGAATCATTATCGTTCTCTTTTCGCTGATAATGGAGTGTAGCAATTCTATCATAACCATTTTCTAAATCATCAATATACTCTTTGTGTTTATTGGCAAACGTTTTTTGCAACTGCATTTCTTTCGTATATATAATATTTGGACCGTCTCTGTAATTAAACAAAAAACTATTAAATAAACCAATAATTTAATAATTATGGATAAGAAATATTAAATGCTTAAAAAGAAAATATGATGATAATATAACAGAAAATACTTTATCGATCGATTATGACTGGATCATTTGTATGTTCTCTTTTCAAAAACGTTTATTGTTATAACATTGAATGTCAAGAAAGAGGCCAAAAAAAAGAAAAGAAGAAAAACTTCAAGAGACAGACATCTATTAATCTATTAATGACAACAATTAATTACTAGTAAAGAACTTTAAAAAAAAAAAGGGAAAAAAATAACAAATCGACAAAAAATTAAAAATAAAGAAAGCAATGATCTGGAATCGAAAAAAAGTAAAAAAATAAATGTGTAAATGATCGTGACGCGAACCACGGCCGTCTGTTTTGGGGCCGCCCGATTACCGACCGAGCTATTATGACATTTTCTCTCTTGCGGCGAAATTTACCGTCATATTCGAATTATATTTTTCATTCCCTGAAAACAGGGATAAAAGGACATTTTCTAAAAATGAAACCTAGCTAGATCGATTTTTCGCCCCCGAATCTAGGCACATACTAAATTTCATGAAAATCGCTGGAGCCGTTTCCGAGATTCCGATTATATTATATATATATATATACAAGAATTGCTCGTTTAAAGGATAAGATATTGAAGTTCACCGAGTCAAGGTTTGAAATGTTGCAGGTTTTGTACAATAAATTCGATTTTAAGTAAGACTCTCCTAAAATTTTACCTTGCTCGAAAAGATTGTCGGGTATCATCATACTTGTATTCGTTATCTTCTGCAGTTTGTACGAACTCATGCCTCATATCACCGGGAGTAGATGCAGGTTTTGAGGGTTCTTTTGAACGATAATTTCTTTTATTGAATTTCCATTGTGTTGGTTTCGTTCTCAAATCTGCCTGTTCAGCGCTCCAAGCTTCCCGTCTTCTCCAATCTGTCGCTTGTATTGACTTATTTTCTAAATTTTGCATCGACTTGTTTTCCCTCCCAACTCCTTTGTCGCGCACCACTAGATGCACGTCGTCCTCTGTGGAGTTGACACGTATCACTCTTTTCCTAGAATTTATTAATGGATATCTATGTACCTAAAGGTTTGGTTATGGTTCAATTTATTAAAGCTGTGTATGTTAATGGGCTACAAATAGGTTAATTCCAACTATTTACATGCATTTATTTCTAATTTAAAAGGATGAAATGGAGTCGTGATACATTTGCTTTCTAAGGCTGGTGTATTTTATCGATAAATAATGACGTTGCACAAGTGGAGGAAATAAAATTAAATATACAAAATGAGTAGATCTTTCATCTTAACATTAATAATCAATTAAGAAAATTACCTAGGGGGCATATATAACGGACAGCCTTCACATATGCAACAGCATACAAGTAAAAGTAGCACTAACGCCACTAATATTGCCAAGAGTATTAACAGCCAGAAAAGTAAGCGGCTTTCTGCTTTGTAGACACCCTGCGAAAGATAATTTATTTATTTATTTTGATTTCATGCATAAGTACATTGTAAATTATGAAAGGAAAGTAGGTCTTACCGAGTCACGGTCCGAGGATGATGTTGTGTCTTTAAGGCCGTACCCAGTGCTGTAGATTGTCATATTTTTTGCTAACTGTTCTTGTAGCTTAGCGACGTTAATAGACGTACTTCCTGACATTCTCACTACAGCTATGACTTCGCTTCTAGAACAACAGTAAAGCTCATTGGTTTAAAATAAAAATATAACAACATCGTATGTAAATGTTGCGAAAATTAATTCATTGATTAGAAGGATAAAAAGTTTACGTGGGAGATTCATGGTAGACCATGTAAATTCTTGAATATGTGCTATATATGGATATATCACATTATAAAATCATACTATAAGATCCGTGCCAGCTCATTATCTGGACGGTCGCTTTTGATTCGATATATTCGAACAACTTGAGTTACTCGTTATTGTTAATGGTAATTTTAATTGCTGATTTATCACGTGCTCGAGAGTGAAGAAAAATTTCGTCGAACCTGGATAATTCTGAAATAGTAATTAAAAAGAAAATATTTCGAATGATGATTTTGATGACTCCGTGGCGCAGTTGCCAAAGTATTGGCTTCGGCGATGGGGGTCGTTGGTTAGATTCCCACACGGGCCAACTAATTGTGTGTGACCCACAGCTAGTTGTTACGCATCTGGGTGTTTGTCCGCGTGAAATTTATGTTTGTAAAACGTCCTTACAACACAGGATAATGTTATCCTAAAGCAAGGGCAACGTTTTTATTCAAATAAAAAAAACAAAAAAACAATCAAAACCAAAATCATATAGTCTGCAAGTCGGGAGTGGGTTCTTTAATATGCTCCTTACATCTACTTTTTGTACTTAGGAGGTATTTGCTCAGCCGTGGGATATACAAAGATGATACAAGATTTTTAAAATTTCTTTTATCAGGACTTACTTTTCTTGACTTGATGGTTCCGCATTGTCATTACCCTTGTAAGGTTTTATGTCAACAATATTTACTTTTCCTCCTGAAAGTGTACTAAGTACTTCTTCTAATTTTTTTCTATCAGGGTTTGACCCCGGTACTATAAAAGACATTGTCCTCGTTTTGCTTTCAGGTGGGTAAATTTTTACCGTTGTTGTAGAAGACAATCTTGGAACGCCAAGATCATATGCTCTAACCGTAAGTACAAAAACTTCACTTTCTTCTCCTTCGTCAACTTGACGTTTTTTTCGCTCAACGTTTTGTTTCTTAGTGCGTTTTAATGCTTCTAGCAGATATAATTCACCAGTTTCTTCATTAATTGAAAATTTACCTTCACTGTTACCTTCAGTTATTTCATATCTTATAACATTATTTGGTGGTTCAACGTCTTTGTCAACTGCTTTTACAAATGCGGTTGATGTAAAATTATTTAAATTTGGTGATAATACAAACTCATACAATGACCTCTCAAATTCTGGTGGGTTATCATTTACATCTAATAACTTAATAATTAATGGCACTGTTATTCTTAAGCCTACTCCTTCATTATCTCTAGCCTCTACTAAGAAATGCAATTCTGGCATCGCTTCACGATCAAAACCGTGGTTATCGGTCGCTACGGTTATTAATCCTGAACTGGGATCTAAATTTAATGATGTATTTAAGTAACCTAATATGGCAGTATATTGAATCTTTCCAAACTGCCCGGTGTCCACGTCGTCAGCTGCGACTTCCACAACTTTTGCACCGACTGTTACATTTTCAGGTAGTTCCACGTCATAAGATAACGCAAGAAATACTGGTGGATTATCGTTGACATCATTCAGATATACTGTTACATTTGCAGTTGCTGATAGATTTGTTGCTGGACCGAGTTCTTGTGCTAGAATCTGAAATCAATATTAGCATTCAGTATAAAATTCAAATGAACAATTTTTGAAATATCACATTTTTAATTTGGCGTGTTTGAAAATTCCCCAGCTTTTAATTAATTTTCAATTGATCTTTAACATGGAATTTAGCATTAATATGCTACGGAGATTCCGGTCCTTGTGCCATCACGAGGTAAGTGAATATGCTTTCTAATTTCATTAGTAACGAGTTGAATAAAGCAAGTGAAATACCTGAAAGACAACTGATTTGCGAGCTTCAAAATCGAGCATGGTGTTATCGCGCACTTTAATAATAAACTGTGCATGCCTCTCAGCAACCGTTGGCGCAATCTCGAAGGTTCCGTTGTTGCCTACCAACGACAAAGAGAAAACTCCATTCTTGCCCGCGTCGTTATCATTTACTTGTGGGATATACGGTTCGTTGAATGTAAGCGCTGTACCTTGCGGCGCGTTCTCGTCTAGATACGTCACGTACCTGAAATTTTAAACTGTAAGTAAATGCGACAATCGTAAACGATAAGATAAAAATAAAAATAAATTCGTAATTTACAATTAGACAAAAATATATTTTAGGTTTTAAGGAAACTATCGTTTATGTTCTTGGCTGATGCTTACGATTCATTTTCAAAATATGGCGGTGAGTTTTCCCGTTCGGGAAGGATGAATGCAAGTTGCACCGTAGAGGACATTGCCTCAGGCTCTTCCCGAGACAGCCGCACTTCTTCCGCTACCACGGTGAGTAGTATCGGGGCCCCGGCGTGTGATATCGCTGCAATTTCTTCGATTGGGCGCTCCAGTGTCACTTCACCTGGAAATTATGTATTATTTTATTACTCTTTAACAACATCTTAAAGTTTTTAATTACACATTTCATATTTCTATTCAATTTAAGTTACGTGGATCGAAAAAATCTTGAGACTTTTCATTGGCGCCTGTTTTGTCCTGATACAAAGATTAAAAGTTGTATAACTATGTACCTAGGTTTTTTTATGCGAGAACTTGGCAAGAGTGCTTATATATATTATTATAATATATCTTATTTATTTATATTTCAAAAGTATACTTTTGTATATGAAATAAACGGGTAAATAACAATAATTTAGATAAATAAAAGTATGCGCGCTTATGAACGCACGAATCGCAATTACTCTCACAATTTTTCAAAACGCGCCAAAACTTCGAAAAGAGGTTTAGGTATCCTTTCATTGTTAAAATATATGCAAGAGAAAATGAAACAGAAAAAACATTCCTCTTGTCCCTCTATTACATTTCCGTGAAGTACGAGATATTGTTGCCTGCTGTCAATTATTTATGAGTTCCTATTAAGTAAACGGACTGGCGTAACCTTTCTCTCTATCCTGACAAGGGATTAATTGTGGCCTTAATGAAAGAAACGTATTAATAAGTGCTCCGTATGTGTTAAAAGTTGGCAAACAAGCAGGCGGTTCACCTGATGTTAAGTGACGGGTTGCAGATGTGTTGGCAACATGAAAAAAGTGGCCTCCGGTTACCTCACTCATCAGAGGAAATGCGAAAATATAATATTTCCATTTTATACCGGTCTTATGTGAGGTTATGTTACGTCCTCGGACGAGCCTGCATTCGTGCAACAGCTGAGGCTGCTGCTTGGCCATAGCACTTTTATAATGAATTATGTGCTTGTTAAAATATAGTTTTAAGGTTTTATAATTAAGAGTTAAATTGTAAACAATGAACAACTTACGTATTGGGTTTTTAATAATTTACTTTTAATGTTATATGTCGGTACTCGGTTGCGCCGTTGCTAAGCTATTGGCTATGGCGTCGGGGATCGTGGGTTCGATTCCCACACGGAACAAGCATTTGTGTGACCCACAAACAATTGCTCAGGATGCTAATGTGTGTTTCGCAAGGAGGGTTGACGTCAGGCAGGCGGCCGATAATAACACACATAGCCAAATCCGCTTACAACATGATTCATATTTTGTGCCGACCCCACCTAGGTGGGATAAAGGTAGGAGGATAGTGATGATAACTTGAATATTATAGGTTCAATAATCCTTAAAGTTTTTTATTACAGCTTTAACGGACGCACGCAAAGACTTCAGTTAATATTAAACAAGAACTAATTTTGCTAGGTGCGGTCTTCTAAACTTATTATCAGTTTATTGCCTATTGACACATCTACGAGTACATTCTATTTGTCGTAACCTATATAAACTTTAAAATCAAAATCAAAAATATATTTATTCAAATAGACGCTTGCGCGCTCTTATGGAACGTCAAATTTTACATCAAAAATTATGTATAGATATAGGTTCGTAAGGTACCACCGGTTCGAAAAGCAGTTTCTGTTGAGAAGAAACCGGCAAGAAACTAGTGTTATTCTAGCCTTCGTGAGTATCTACAGTATTAATTACACATATTGGCGTCGTCGAGATATTCTTTACCACCTAGTACCGCCTTAGACCGACATTGAACATATTGAACGATGAGACCAAAAATCATCGAGCATCATAACGCTATTTTCACTTAATTTATATTTAACACACAATAATTTTATTACCGTTCTCAAGGATTCATGTATTGTAAATGAATAATATCCTAACTTAAATAATGTAAATTCATCGAGTGAATGGAATACGTATATATACAGCGGCGTTATCTAATGAGTTACATTCTTAAATGTAAAAAATTGCACGACGGGTTCTGTTACCATTATATATAAAAACGGCAAAAACATTATATCTGTCGTATGGGAGCCCCACTTAAATATTTTTTTATACTGCGTTTTAGTATTTGTTGTTATAGCGCCAACAGAAATATCATCTGTGAAAATTTCAACTGTCTAACTATTACGGTTCATGAGATACAGCCTGGTGACTGACGGACAGACAGACAGGTGGCGGAGTCTTAGTAATAGGGTCGCGTTCTACACTTTGGATACGGAACCCTAAAAATCAGTCTAATACACAACAGTACAATGACGGGTTACTATTTACCCCATCGGGGATTACAGGCCAGATCATTCGCTTCTCCTTCTTATTATTTTATTCTGCACTGCAACTGAAAAGACAGTCCTAATGTTTCATATTGCTAGTCTTATTGTTTTATTAGGAGAAAACGGGAAAAAGAACGACACTAATTAGCATACAAAAGTGGTGTTCTCTTTAAGATTAATGTAAAAAGCCCATTCGTTCTCTCTGACAAGCCCGTCGGAGGGTCGAGCAGCTTCTCATTAATGTTTAATTTACTTTCGAGTTTATTAAAGCTCCTAGGCTTAATTTATTTCAGTTACGAGCTTACATTACATTTCACAATACACGTTTCGAGAAACATACGAATGTTCTTGTACATTTAATGAGGAGTTAAAAGCACGTCTCGAATTATATTGCCGTTTTTGATGAAACGTTTAAAAATAATTTTCAATTTTAGTGTTAGTCTCTGCACCTACGATGAACTTGAAATGCACACATAAGTTGCCGAAAAAAGTTTTAGCTACTGTTAGTATTCAAACGTGCGTCTTCCGAATATTGCGTGCAGACTAGACGCTCTAACCACTAAGCTAAGCTAAGCGGTCGATCTCGAGAAAATCTAGACATCTTATCTACTTTGTTTTTATTATATTTTAGTAATTTTTTGCGTCATTTAATGTGCTGTCCTTTATAGCAGACACACTTTTTCAAATGATATTTTTACAATGAATATTGGAAAAATAGAGACGTCGCATTTATTGAAATTTAACTGTTCATTTTAGTGCTAGTATCTGCACTAGAGATGATTTTAAATTTAAAATGTTTAACATTTTTGACTAAAATTGTGTAGGTTTAGTTTTTCAGATCGTTATGTTAATTAAAGAGCTTAGTACTAACCACAAATTGGTAGAGAATTTTCGTTTTAAGTTCAAAGTTAAATTTTCCCTGTACTATATTTTCACAACTGCGTCGACGTGATTAATGTGATAAATTTTGAACATAACATGGTTTTCTACTATCGAACTAAGTTTTAACGGGTCTTAGGTTCTAGTTTGTGCAGGCGGGCGTAGTTAGTGAGATGATAACGTCGTCGGAGGTATTGTATACGGCTTCTGCACAGTGGGCCGTTACTTAAAGGAAGGCCCTTTTAGCATGAGGCAAGGTGGAACAGCTTTGCAAACAATAGACGTGGGGCGGTATCTGCGGGTGTTCCTTAATGAACTATTATGCCTGAATCCATAGAAAGTAATACGGCGGAGTGTAACAAATTTTCTGTACACTGTTCGACTTTATTTTAAACGAAGGCCTCAGCTATTCGACGTTTGCAAAATGTTGGTGCGAGTTTTAATTTTTTCCAGCGAAAACGAAAACGAGCCACATTAATTTTCAACTGCGACGGAAATAGGTCACTAGCCGCCTTTAAAACTAGCCAACTAGGGTGCTAGGAAAGGTCAACGATAAGGAAGTAGGATATTTCACGGAAACTATCAAGCAACAGTCTCACGATGTTATCGAATAATAAATTTCATTGCTTTGACCTAATTAATATATCGCGGAAGAAAAAAAAATTTTTTTTTTTCAGTTAATCGAATCTGACCATTCGACATTGCGACTACAAAGTAATTAGCAAATTTCAAATGCCTTCTGCAATAATTGGAATACAGGATATATAGTTGCTTTGAGGAATGTACCTAGTGGGAAACGATGTAACTTGCGGTTGCTAAATAAGATAACGTTTCGCTAATATATTCCTTGCCATCTTGAGTCCTTATGCCCAGCAAAGGTAATATGGCATGCCAATTTAGACGGGCTAGCACGCTTAGTGTTATTTTATTGGCGCTGGCTGAATAGCTTCGCATAATATCTCGCTTTAATTATTCAAATGTTGCATGTTGAATGTATTCAGCCCTCAAGCCCTGAACACCTTTGGATTTGCTACTCACTTTCGATCCGTTTTGTAATTTAAGTTTGCTTAAAAGGCATCACCATTATAAAAGGATTTGAAAGCGAATGAAATTTGAACAAAATCTGTGTTATTCAATTTGAAGTATTCAATTAGTTAAAGTATATTAATTAAATAAACTGACCTGTTGTTTCGTTGATGTTAAAAAATGGCGTGAATGGATTGCCTTCAGAGACCAGGCCGTATCTGATTGGTCTTGGTGCGCCTTTGTCCCCATCTTCAGCACGCACCTTCACGATCATGTCCCCTGGAGCCACTTGACGGGGCAGATGAGTGATGGGGGGCGCCGACGTGAACACAGGGGGCATATCCTGCACGTCCTGGACTACCACCACCACTTCTAAGCCAGCTATGTTTCTTGTATCTTTGCCTATCTCGGCGTATGGGTCCTGAAATATGAGTTTGTCATTTCACGTTATTTATTTAAAAGTATGGCGTTACGAGACTAGGAGTAGATTTCAGGTCGACATATGATTTTATTTTAATTTCTTTTAGTTTGAACATTGCCCTGTAGGATAATTAAAAAAAAATACTGTAGCTAAACATTATCCTGTGTAACGCTCTTTCAGCGTTATACAAACATAAATTTCACGTGAACAAGCACGCACATCCGAAACAATTATCCGTGTATCCCACAAATACTTGTCCAGTGTGGTCATTCAACCCACGAGCCGCACCTCGCGGCCTTTGGATTTATAGATGCCTTCACAAAAGTGAGCTCCGGTGACCTCATCACCATATGAAATGAAGTGTAATACTTTAAAGTCATCGGTCTTCTGTGAGGCCGTGGTAGCCTTAGACAAGCCTGACCATACGGCTGGAAGAAACTTTTATCAAGACATTAAAAACGACCAAGTTTGTTTAGTTTTAATCCGCATTGTTATCCATTCGGTCTACTTGTTAGGATAATGGCAAAGTAAATTATAACGCCGAATACCCTTCCTTAAAGGCCAGTCTTTGTTCAGCTGCGATTTCAAGTAAGGCAATGAGTAGGCCCCGTTTCGTTTCAAATATCAAAAGAGGTCGTGCTAATTGAATTAATTGTTTTACTTACCACCGCTAACAGTGTTAAGTGGTACATAGACTGCGCTTCGAAATCCAGCGGGCCGACGAGGAAAATAGTGCCTTCTGTATTTTCTGTTGATACTCGCCGCTGCCTTATCGCAAACAGCGGCGATCCCTGTGGAGTAAACGAAGATTAAGAAACGATTTCTTTTATCCATGCGAAAACTACGCGTAGAAGTATACCCTGACGTAATTAAAATATATGAAACTAGCTTATTTCTGCGGCTTTCCTCGGCCAAAAATGGTTATGCAACATATTTTAATGTAATGGATATTTTAAAATATTCAAGTGTAAAAACCGGCATACAAACAAACTTCCGCGGTAGTTGAATAGGGACGCTTTTTAGAATAATCCATTTGCAATAAAAAAGCAAGAATGGAACTCGAAAATGGAGAGAGCTCCATGCCATTTTACATGCCCCGATAGAGATCGGGGCATGTAAAATGCGAAATTGTTATTTTTCATTGTACTTTATATTGTGATTACAATAAATTTAAGACTTTGCATATTTTCTCTCAACGATAATAATCGATTTTCACTGCGGCTTAGAGACTCGATGCGACTTCGAGACTTGACTTGAGAGATTTGATGATCTTCATCATCAAATCTGGTTCGGGGCTTCCCCCAAGTCGCATCTATGTGTATTTTTATTTATTTATTTATACTTCATTGTTACATCTTAGACTAAAGGCTACAATGGGCGGACTTAATGCCTAGTGGCATTCTCTACCAGTCAACCCTTGTCATGGTGAGAAGTAGATGGCAGGTGCTAAAACTAAAGTAAATAAAAGTAGGAAAATATATACTTAAAATCAAATTAAATATAATGTGTGGATATATACGAATATGTATATGAATATTATTAATCATAAACTACATATACATGACATACATGTATGGATGAATATATACATAAATATACACACATATATATATATATATATATATATATATATATATATATATATATATACATAAATATTGTAGATGTACATATATGGATAATAAAAACCGAGCATGGGATAAGCCAAACAAAATCACTGATTTAATAGGTATTCTCGAACTAACTTTTTAAACTTATTTAAATCTATATTTATTTGGAGCTATTTTGATCTTATCGGGAAGGGCGTTCCAGAGGAGTGTAGCTTGAACAGATAATACCGAAACAATATATCCTACAATAACAACAGAATTCTGGAGCAACGCCTTTTAATAGTTAGTTTATGTTGCGGGATGCGAATCCTATGTAGGTTAAAGGAACGAGAGGTACTCTGTCAGAAGCAGAGTGAAATAATTGGAAGGTATTCCTGAGATATGTAGGAGAATTAGGATTAGATAATACCGAATACAATAACAACAGAATTCTGGAGCAACGCCTTTGACGAATAGAAAGCCAGTTAAGCTTGCGACGATAAGAAGATACGAGGTCATATTTACGTAAACCGAAAATGAATCTGATGCAGTTATTGAGAAGGCGCTCCAATTTATTAAGACGAGATTGGGATAGGTCCGGGTAACACACATCTGCATAGTCAATAATGGGTAAAATTAAGGACTGGACAAGCAAGAGCTTAGTTTTATGGGGCAGAAAATTTTTAAGGCGATAGAGAGAACGTAAGGTGGCAACGACTTTCCGGCTGACTGATAATAGCTTTGCATTTAGAAGGATTAACAGTAATTCCAAATCTGTGCAACCAATCTCTAATTGATTCCAGATTGTTATTAAGGGTTATTATGCTGTTATTAAGATCATTAATATCTGTTTTGACGTAAAGCTGTAGATCGTCAGCATACAGATGATACGAACAATTGATAACTGATTGTTGTGTATTCGTTATTCAGATAATTTAGATGTGGACGTGATCAAAACCATGTTCGTGAAGGTCGGCTGACGATTAGAGAATATAACATTGATACCATACGACGATTGATTCAAACTAAATAATTTGAAAAGAGCCAAGTGCAAAATATTTTCCATGTATGTAGATTTCGGAAGATCTCGAAGGAATGGGTATGATTAAATGGAAGGTCAAAAACGAATGCGTTTCGTTATATGATAATAATTCAGAACTGACATTGGCAGTTAATAATATCTTAACAGGTGACGAAACCTGGGTGCATTAATAAGAGCCAGAAATAAAAAGTCTGTCGGTAGATTGGGTCTTTTCTTTTGAATACTTGCCGAAGAAAGTCAAGAAAAGTAAATACAAAGTAGACACAGTACATGTTCATCACACATTATTTTCCCAGTAGTGAGGATCAAACCCACACCCTCTGGCGTAGGAGACAGGTCCGCTATCCACTATCCACACCAATCGGGTCGTCGAAGTATTATATAAGTATTTCTTATGCAGTACCTCGCTTTGAAACCTAGTACCCGATAATTGCTTAACTGCAACGGGAGCCTCAAACCAGTTGGCCTGAGCCCAACCTCGTCTTATGGCTGTGATGCCGTTTTCAGTAAACGCGAAATCCCTATGGGTCTTATATCATTTTGCTCGAAGTTTAAGACGTTTATTTTAGTTTTCACGATTTTTTAAATTACATCAGTTGGTAAATTTGACAACAATTTTACATAACAACAAACTTTTACAATTTAAAACTCCCGAAAGGCATAATATACAGCGGTGCGGTCAAATCTAAATCATTGGGAAAATAATTATATGATTATGGTAATTTAAATATTCACTGTTTCTCATACATTTTCATCTCGTAATTGCTTCGGCGTAAATGGATTATGATGTGGTGTTCCCACTTAAGTGCTTCAAAAACGTGAAATTATAAATTGGATTTCGCGGGAGTCGGGGAGACACGTCGACGCGATATCACGGTGAAAATGAGACCTATTAGCGGTCGGGCGAAACTTCATTATGCGGCTACGTCGTAATGCGTGTCGTACACGAAACCAGAAAACCTGGCAACATCATTAAAGCGTTCTAATCGTCAATCGCTATCACGCTCCTCGCTTAAATTGCGAATGAATAATGCATCTCACCCAAAGCTCCAGTTCTAAAGGCTTCGGCGACAACGGACTCTTCCTCGCTATCACTATCTCCAGGTCCGTTCCCCGTTTGGCATCCTGAAAACGTATTCTTAGATGCAATCTATAATTTTGTTATTAATCGAAGCGATCCAAGTTTCTCAAAGATTGGATCGGAGAAATGGATTTAACAAATTAAACTTTGTTCAACAACGGACGTTTGAGACGCAAAGATAAGAGCAAATTGACATTACTGTGGTTGTGAAACAATTAATTTGTTAAGGGACAATTGTTAAAGTTTTATAAAAGATGAAGTTTTAATTGGATTATTTCATAGTGGTAAAAGTATTCACATAGCCATCATCTTTCATGCTTTAAAAAGAAGAAAAAGGGATGGAATATTTTGTTACTCAATGTATTTCATGTCTTACGGTTTTAATCTTCGATTTACTAGTAACGATTTTAATGTGCCACCATGTATATGTACAAAGGTTGGTTAGGTGATACTAAGAGAAAACCAAGGCAGGTTTAAAAAATATTAAAATTATTTCTTTATTAAATGCTGAACCTTTATTAGTAGTATTAAATGCTGAACCTTTAGTAGTAGACTTAAAGTTGATTGTGACAATTACCTCAGGTACCAATATAATGCCTGGCTGATGTGGAAATATGGTGTCCCTAGGTGTAGTCGCATTCGTTCCAGTAATGGAACACGCAATGCGGGAACTGCGCCCTCTGGTATTGCGAACAGATAACCGAAAATCCACATAGCGGCCCGGCTCGAGCCTTCGTAGAAGAATTACGTTTGCTTGGCACACGGAGTTATAACGCGTGCAAGGCAAGGTCTCTACTCCAATGTCCAAACGGCCCATTTGACCTGTTGAAAAAAATTAACATGTTACTATCATTGAAAGCCATCATTGTTGCCTATCCGTTGTAAACGTAAAATGTATATGTATTTATGTATTTATATATATTTTATTTTAGTAATGATATCATATTTATAATTATTGCATATACGTGTATTTTAATTGATACATGTACACAATTAACTACCATCTGTAACCAATTTCCAGTCACAGGTCTGATGGAAGAAATTTCTTATGAAATAAGCAGGACCTTTGTACAAATACAGACATAGACACACACATCAATTGTAAAAAACATACACAAAAAATAAGTAGTAAAATATCGCGTTTCACATATGCACTCAATGAAATTAAAAAATCTACTGACTTGAAAACTGCCCTTGCATACTGCAATGCTAACTATGCCTATTCTTTTGCATGGCTTAACTACGGATTGATTCTCTGGGGGAATAGCACAGGTGCTCCTGCAATTTTTACTCTACAAAAAAAGCTTATAAGAATCCTAGTTAATATAAATCAAACAGATAGCTGTAAACCCCACTTTAAAAAGCTAAATATACTTACCTTACCAAGTTTATATATATATGAAATATGTAAATTTGTTCGAAAAAATCCTTGGCTTTATCAAAAGCGCAGTGAAATTCCTGTACAATAAAACTTACGACATAAAGACAGACTAATGCAACCCATTTCTACACTACAATTATACTCAACGAGTCCCTATGTAATGACCATCAAAATATATAACAAACTACCGCAAATATTAAAAGACGAAAAAAAAAACGATAAATAAAACTTTCCTAAAAAAATTAAAAGAATTGTTACTTACCAAGTCATATTATGACATAAAAGAATATTTTGTAGATACCTTGGATATTATAGATATAAATAACACATAATGATCTCACATTATAAATATATTAAAAAAATTACTCATAATTAATATATAAATTAAAACTAATAAATGTTACCTATAAAAATAAATAGCCTCTCAAAATACCAACTACATATACAAGTACCCCATTAAATTAGCTAAGTGATACATCTTACTCTCTCCGAATTTATGATTTGTTTTGTACTATGCCCTATAAACAGGGTCCATAAAGAACTATTTTACTAATTACCCTAACACCTTTTTTGTTACTTAATGGATGTGCAATAAATAAATAAATAAATAAATAAATAAATAAATAAATAAATAAATAAATAAATAAATAAATAAATAAATAAATAAATAAATAAATAAATAAATAAATAAATAAATAAATTATTTCATTTATTTACATCTCTGCCATAACTCTGTGTACATAAATTATAAATAAATAAATAAATAAGTAGAATAAGCAGTATGGTCTATGTAAACATTTATTTTTAAGAATAAATTACAAATTGAATATGAAACAATAAAAGCCACCAAGTGATTAAATCTAATACGAAATAGAAAGACACAAAGAATGTTATTTATAGGTTGGTAGAGAACTGAATTCTATGAATTTCTCCCTCATTAACTCTTCGTATAAATAACGATTTTATGGTTTAACGAAGAAAAAGTATCTAAAGGGAATGTGAAATTCCCTCCAGATATTTTCTACATTTAAATTTTTTATCTCCTCTAGCCTCTCAAAAAAAACTGTAATTTAAATTTTTTTTGCTCAACCTTTAACAAATTATAATCGAAAAATTCCAAGGCACTACGGTTCATTAGAATTTTTAAATTAAGCAAACTAATTGTATAAAATTGAGTTGTGTACTAAGGTTTTTTACGTGAATTGAGCAGATTGATCGTGTTATATGGCGTGCTATAAGAGAAGAAATTATTTTTCGAGGTAGCAGATGTATTATGAAGTGCTTAATTCGTCAAAACCGATTGGCAAAAGCGTAAGCTTTAAATTTGTACTGCATTTAGTTAAGTTTATTATAAGTATGTTATGGAAGAGCGGTGCTACTTAACACAAGCAAAACTGTAGCTCCAAATATTTAATAACTGTAAAAGAAATATGTTAATGAAATTTTTGTATTTGTAAGCATTGTTTGAAAATTCTTAAAAAGTTAAAGTGTTTGCTCGCACCAATGAGTTCGAAGTGCAGCGGGTAGTCGAAGTCTGGGTCGGAGGCGCGGACGCGGTAGACGATGGAGCCGACCGCCGCATCCGCCGGCACCAGCACCAGCCGCATCAGGGTGCTCGGGTCGAATACCGGCTCGCCGCCCAAGGCGGGCCACGTGGACCCCGCCAGCAGCAGCACCAGCACCCACTTTGACGTCATCCTGCCAACAAGGGTATCGGCTGTAATAAACCTTTGTAGTAAAATATCACAACGTAACTATTGCTCATTAATGACTGGTTATGACGATGAAAGCTAAAACAGTGAGTCGACTGTCGCCGACTTTAACTTCATCCTGCCAACAAAGATATCGGTTGTAACAAACCTTTGCAGTAAAAAATCACGAAGTAACTATTGCTCATTAATGACTCTGGTTATGACGATGAACGTTAAAACAATAAGTCCACTGTTCAAAAAACATTTCTCTTAGAACGCGACAGTGAACTAAACTTTGCAATTCGTATCCACTGGTTGCCCGCAATTCTAACGACGAAATTATGTCGGAACGAGGAAATTCGACGAAGAGCCGAAGTCACTGACAGCTCCCTGGATGGCAAGTTGAAGTGGGAATGTCCATCACTCGAACGGTATACACTACTTCACATTTCACTGATAACCTATTTTCTTAATTCAAAAGGATTTTTGTACTTTTGTATTCTATCTTTTCCAATAAAATATGTTTTAGTGATGCAGAGTTACGCTGAAAACAGTAAAGTACACTACGAGGCTGCCACCTGAGAACAGCGCTAACATAGCTCAGAAAATGGGTAAGCTGAAGTGGCAATGGGCTGGCCATGTCATAGTTCTAGAAAGTCGAACCTTAGATTGGTGGAGGTTTTTCTAACATTGTAACACTAAGTAAATTAAGTCCATTAACTAGTAGTAATCTGAGAAGTTGCTTACTTATTATTATTAAGTCATTATTATTTTAAATTTCAATCTATTGTTGTTTTTCCAATGATCTAAGTTTTCCCTAAGGTAAAGAAAATATCTTGAGTTGAGCGCTCTAATTCGCGATAAAAATATCTTTTGAGTTGAGAATAGCGCGCTCTAATTCACGATTCCTTAGTCGAAACACAAAAATATATAAAATTAATCGAAACTGGAATTATACTATAGAGTCTTAACACAGAATTTTTATTTGACCCAGTTAAAACATACATCGAGGCTCTATCAATAAGTTAGAATTGAAATTCAAACTTCGTTTACCTCGGTTGTATAGAACAGCCGCCATATTCAATTTTAAATTGTTTGTATCGCAGAAGGATACCGCAAAACGCCTAACTCAAGTTGCGAAAGGGAAAATGGTGTTATGAAATCATGCCGCTTCTGTGTTCGGAGCAGGAAGTATTAACTCTATATAACTTTGCTGGCAATAACCCGTTTAAAATTTAATTTTTGTAACGGTGCACTGGTTTTAAGTGAAACCTAAAATAATAATCCTCCGTCCTCTTTTTGAACACATTTTATATATTAAATGTCACTACTTTACGGATTTTATCACGTTTTTTATTTTGATTTAAATTCCCGACGTTTCGAACCCTTTCCAGCGTTCATGGTCACGGGACAGACTTGATATTAAAAGTTATAACATTAGATATGCAATTTCATTTCTTACTCGATCTGTTATACTATAGACATGTAAAAGCTTTGCAATCGATATCACCTGCAACCGAAAGGGTTTGCTAGAATCTGGGCTGCCACTGATCAGCTGATTCGTGCTAACCAATAAAGGTTCCATGTTTAAAAACTTATATGTATGCCGTCATTTCTGAATAAATAAATTTGAAAACCCGTTTATAACCCGCGACAGAGCTATGTGTAATGCAGCGACTTATTGAAGATGACATACCAACGTTGACCGGATACTTTCTTTAGTAATAATCTAATATGTTTGCCCTGTTAGAAAATGTTTCAAAATTATGTCAGTTATTCATCGGGAAGTACGAGATAAAATAGCGTTATTGACACTTTAGCTGTCGTCGATAAGCTGAATATCAAATTTTGATTACGAGCGAACACTAGTTTTTTTAAACATCATCATCATCACCATTTCAGCCTGTCCACTGCAAGAAATAGGCCTCCCTCAAAGACTGCCACGAAGCACTCCATCGACTTTTCGCAAAACCCTACACTAAGTTGGCCAGTACGAGAACCTTTCATAGTTCTTCTAGCTATATGTCCGGCCACTTCACCTTACTAATTCTCTGAACTGTGTAAGTTACTCTTATTCTACGTCTGATGTCTGTGATGCGGAATAAATATGCGATAAGTTAAGAATACTTTTTAACATTAAAACATGTAGAAAAAGTACGAAAAGATTGTCGCCGCTGTGTGAATCTTCAAGTGGGGGCTTCAAATGCTAAATAGCAATGTAGAAAGAAGGCGTTAAGATTTTCGTCGCTGTGGCTATCAGCCGTTTAGCTCAGTGGCTAGGGCGTCAGGCCGCGAATGCCGAAGACGTGGGTTCGATTCCCACAGCGGCGACAATCTTCTCGTACTTTTTCTACATGTTTTAATGTTCAATCTTAAGTGCAGAGATTAGCACTATAAAAAACTTTAAAATTTAATACTTTTTAATTCATTCAAATTGACTTTGTTCAAGTTTTTAAATTTGTTATAAGGCATTTTAATTTAAGACAATCATCGTAGATATATATTAAAGCTTTAGTTTTTGGAGCGTTTTAACTGTTATAAGGATTGGTCTTACTTGTTTACTATGTTGTTTTATGTTCGTACCTTATCTACTTCGCAGCAGTGTAAGTAACGCCGACAACGAACAAGTTCATGCCTCAAGAACACGAACCTTGTTTCAACTAGCGAGTACTAGATAACACGCCGAAGAACTAAAACTAATCAATTTCTTACTCACGCACCGTGAATACGTTAACTTTGCTGATAAATCTTTTGTTTCACTACGTAAAAATAGTTTCTATTATTTAAGACTTTACAAATAGTTTTGATATATTGATCTCACAAATCAAATTCGATACGTATAATTTAGATTAGTTACAGTATACAAAATCGGACTCTTGCAATTTTTGAATTTAAACTATATTTGTTTCATTATCATTCGATATTTGTTGCACTATCATTTATTGCATTTATACACTTGAAACATTATGCAATCGTTAATATATACACCTAGTCCGATTTATATCTATCGGAACGTTGTGTCTGCGCCTTTCACGACCAATTAATCAGGATCGGCGTCTGACAATTTATTGACTGTCCGTTGAAAATCTCGTCCTTACGCGAGATAGTTCCCTTGTAGCGTGGATGACGAACATAGACCGTGGAACGGGTTGGGGGTCCAATTTATTGCGGACGCTCGCAGAGCCAGAGCGGCCGTGAGCTTCCGGCTGCGTTGCTAACCAGGGTGAAATATTTGAATAACGCGAACCACTTGGGACTTTAAATCTTGTTGCGTGACTACAGCGAACCCTGAATGTGTCTAGATATCGACAACATATAGGAGTGCTATTTGGACATGCCGTTAGCCACTATTTTCGAATTGCGAGGCGTCGCAGGTTTTATTTTAGTTGTAGGAAGAAGTTACTTGAAGAAGTAGGGATATAAGTTCCGTACAATTCTCTTAACAGTACTCTAACAGACAAACTTAATTTTTCTCTCTTAATGTTCTCATTGTGACACATTTTTTGGTTTATTATTTCATTTATATATTTTGTTCAACTAAATCAGTATCCATACATACAAGCATTCATTATGCAGTTGCCATTAAATGTTTATTGTACCGGCAAAGCAGTAATTACAGTCAGTTCGATAGCTTCGAAGAAATAATTAAGGATATACGGGTGTTATACGTGCGGATTATTATTTTGTGAAATTTCCACAAAGATATATTGTTGCTAAGAAATAAACATCCGTGTGCATTAGAGCCGTGATAGCTTGTGTCCGGGTCCTCAACTTAATGTCCTCAACAACAACAGATCAATCCCCAGTGCCGGCACCAATGAAATTATTATTTTTAAAGTGCTTATCACGTAATCAGCGGTGAAGGAAAAGATCGTAACGTGCCTGCATATTTTCGAAATAATAACAAAAAAATATATCGTAGATATGTGAAGTCCGCCAATTCGCAGTGGGGCCGTATGGTGTATATATAACCTCTGTACGAAGGATGCCTTTGTTCTACTGAGTGTATGTACAGGCTGCTACTTTACATTACGTTCATGTTTATGTCAATAATGATTTTTCTTACATTTCAAGGAAGTTAAATTCACAGAGTATAATTAAACTTAAAAAATAATTAAAAAAAAGGTTAATATAAATCGCGTTTAAAATAATCGGTAATATTAATCGGGTTTTTATCCTTAATATGACAAAGTATAAATTAAATTTATTTTACTCTACAATAATTTCCTTGAAAATTAGATATATTACGCAAGTACTTGACTATACGGATAAATATTAATACATTATATTATAACATATAACTTTAAATATACATAAGACTTATGAAAGCTGGAAATTTTCGAGTATCAAATCCAATGCGACACACACCATTCGAGCGCACAGCGGGAGACACGGCAAAAATGGCATGCGCACGATGTCATTGCAGCTGACCCCTGGATAATAAAGCGTCGTTCCCTTTTGGTCACGGCACCCCATTACCATAACGCTAAGTGTGTGAGGAGCGGACGCGAACGGCCGGCACCGATGATAGCCACCGCGGGCTCATTATAAATTCTAATAAAGCAACGATCTCACATTAACGTCGGGTTACCCGCGGGCCGATCGATTTTCAGACGGGTCATGGGCTCAACAACGTGAAATATCGCCGATTTAGTAACTCATGGTAACAGAACGAATTGAGGAGTTATCCGTTACCATCGCCACTCTGTTAGTGACAGAAATTTTATAATAGTTCCTGAACTAGAAGCCGCAATTCGTCTTATCAGTGATTTGATTATAATTAAACAGTAGAATCGTTGTAAAGTAAAATGTTAATACATATCGAAGGCGTCTGTGACTATGTCGTAAACCATTACTGGAAGATAAATAATTAAACTGAAGATGTGATTTAAGCCTCAGGCCTATAATTTACATCTACTACGTGTAATTGAATTTCTTTAGCAATAAACATGCGAAATCACGAGCACAGAATTATGGTGGGAGCGAACTGTTTTAGCCTTTTCCAA